TTCAGCAAATACTTCTAAAGCTAAGGGAACCATAGACTGTTCGACTGTTGCGCTATGAAAATGGTAACAGCAACAAGAGTGGTACAAAAAAGTATTTTTGAGAAAAATATTTTTTTTATTATCATTGGGGTAAAAGCAAGCAAATAACCCAAGTCCAGAGAATACTAAAACTGAAAAAGGAGACTGGAGTACATTCCCCTAACCAAACCCACATGTGATATATTACTCTTAGCATCTAAATAATAGCTGTTAGACCCTCAGCCTGTGAACGGAAATCTGAAATAAGCAACTCCTCTATTTGTAATTAGATCTTGACCCACTCTTCAGAGCCCCCAAACTACTTTTAAAACTGTATCTTTAACAGAGAATTCTGGAAACTTCCATAGGAATGAACATGCCTACCAAAACAAGATCATGGCAGTTTTGTGATATGCATTTTCCCAGAATAAGTAACAAATAGGATGACATGACACTAAATTAGTGAGCTTACAACCACCTGAAGATTTACATTCTGTAACACAGTGGGGTGGGTTTGTTTTTTTACAATCCTTGTTAGAAAGCAAGGAAAAGTTAAAATACTTGCCTTTTTACTCTTGGAGTAAAGAGATGATGACAAAGTGTTTTCTTTAATCAGAGATAATCCTTTTCAAAAAATAATTTTGGGGGGCGTGAGGATGGGAAGGAGGTTGATTCTGATTATTCAGTCCATGCCCCTATTCTAATCATTTTCTCATTTAAAGTCAACTTCTGGACATTGAAAACAACAGTCGAACTGTTCTCATAATGGTAAAATGACAGAAAAGCCCATGTGTAATGTACCTATCCCCCACTTCACACAGAATAGCTTCAGTCAGTATAAATGACACATACAGTTGTAGACTGCAGTTGAGATTATTCTATGGGAGACAACACTGTAAAATGAGAAGGGTTTATATCTCTAGTAAATAGCTCTAAACATCTAGTGACTCTTCATATAACACTCATTTGAGTTTGAACTAGATCATTGGTTTTCAAAATACTGATTCTTGAACAACTCCCTTCACACTCACCTGGAAAACTGTTAGAAATGAAAATAATCCAGATCCTACTCCATGATCACTGAATAGAAACTGTAAGATAAGCCCAGTATATAGCTCTTAACCTCCAGGTGACTTTGGTATGTGATCAAGTTTGAGAACACTTGGACTGGATGATCCCTATAGCCTTCTCAAACCATCAAAACCCTGCTATTAAATATCTCATCTAGAACTAGTACTATGTTCAAATACATGCATTTTCTCTTTCCTATTAATTCAAGCAAAGTACCATAATTAAGACTACTACATAGTATTAGTAGTATTGAAAATTTTACTAACTTTGTCAGACGACATTTTTATTAGTGTTTCTAAATTAAGCAAACATTTTGACAACAAACAGTGGTGGTCTTCTGATTAAATCTTGATTCCCTTCATATTTATATTTAGAAACTTATTCCAGCTGTTATGAAAAATAAATCTATGCTTTTATAACAGTTAAGGCACAGGCATTTTGCTTCTTTTTTCTCAAGACCAGCTGCTACAAAGAGCTTTTTCTCACTTTCTCCTCCCTCTTGTGAGAAATATGGGAATGTAACTCCAAAGGGGATGCAAAACTAGCTGAACAGTTCAAAAACATGAGATGTTTTAGGATTCTAACCTATAGGAAATACTAACTAATCAGGAAGCAAGATGCCTCATACATTGAAAATATTCTAAGCACAAATAGATCTGGCCCCAAATGTGATTCAGTAAGGCCTATTTCAACAGTTAAAAACACTGAAATCATTTGACTTAAGAACTTTAACTCCCAAAGATGAAAGTGTTAGACTTAAGATACCTTTAACTTTCCTGAGGCTAGCACAAAAGGACAAAAATAATCCTTTAAAATGACATAAAGCCTGGATGACAGTCAGGGACCAAAAGGAAAAGCTGTTAAAAAACAGCAGGGGTCAAGTTGAAAAGTCAGCTTTTGCTCCCAAAGATAAAAACTCCTTTCCCACCAATTTCTGTTTTGACAGGTGATTGCCTTCCCACAAACTCCTCCCTCCCTGACTCACTTCCTTTAACACTCTTTAAGTCAGCCCAAATTTTTCATTGAAACAAATGCTCTTATCTCTTCTCACCATACTACTAGATGAGGTTCTTGCTACCAAATGAACTGACATACTCTTAAACACATTTTTTTTTCTGAAAACAAAGCAAAACAAGAATATCTCACTTTCTCTCAATTTTGTCAAGAATGTAATGGAAAAAGCCAAAAAAACTCTGAACTACTATTTGCCTCTTCTAGGCACACACACAATTGCTTCATTGAGAATCCAAAAAGCATTTATTTTACAGTACTCAGTAAAAGCATATTAAAATCTTCTGCTCTGCCATCCTAAACCTATAAAGAATTTAGTCATGCAAGTGACTAAATCTTATGCAAAGGTGATTAATGCACCCGGCAACCTATTTCATGTCCGATTTTCCATTTTCAAATATTTCCTGTCAGGGGTATATACATTTCTTAAATTATTTGGCTACTTGGCAGCATTTTATCAGAAGGCTTCTAAAAAAGAAAAAAATAAGCCATAAGTCACCAAACGTCTTTTTAAAAAGTCCTTCAGGCAGTACTTGACATGTTCTCAGAATTTTTAATATTTTAGATCTCCTAAAGCAAGAAAATTAGCTCAAGTGCAAGAATGAATCTTGCAAAGGCATACATTTGATCAATTTGTTTTTCTACGTTAAGAATATTTACAGTACTGCCTTCCAATTGTGTTTGACCTTAAACTTAAGTGAGCTCAGAATGAAAAAAAATGGCAATAGGACGATCACAAACAAAACGATCTATTCATACTCCACACCGGTACAGAGATACCTCCTGAGCAAAAATAAGGCAAGATTTGTTAATACAGCTTTAAAGAATCCTGTTATATTTTTGGCTTGTCAAGGGAGTAAATCCCTTTGTCAAAAAATTCTTCAGACTTCATCTACCTTATATACCTAATGTGTATCACGTATTCTTGATGTACACAGACCTATACTCTTTCATTCTGCAGAGTTTATGTTACAAAAGACCTCCTTGATAAAAATAAAAACAAAAAAAGAAAAAAGAAAAAGCTTACACTGCCTCCTGCTGTTAGAAGGAAAAACTTATGAGATCGAATATCGTCTACAAACTGCAGTGTAATGAGAAAAAAGAAATGACCTCAGGCTGTTTTATTTAACAATATATTTCTAAATCAAAAACCTCAAAAAGGGTGAGATATTGTCTGCAACCCTTGCAAACGTACTGCAAAAACACTAGTACATATGACATCAGAATCGGAAACCATCTTCCCCAGACATTTTTTTGATGTGTAACATAAACAAAACAAAACAAACAAACAAAAAGGAAATATAAAAAGTGTCATCCTACTTTGTCAGATGGTTCTGTTACAGAGCAGTATGGACAGTTGGTTTCTCCCCCATTTCTACCTGCAGTGAGGTAAACTGCTCCATGTCAGCAGAATGGATTCAATGTACCTGCTCCCAGAACTCAGATGGTATGGCCATATTCAGGGTTCCCTAGACCTTAAAGGATTTTCTCCATTTCTAAGCAGTTGGGAAGAGTGTCACCCACCCAACATGTCACCAAAACCCTTGTCTTCAAACTGTAACACACAACTCTTGGCATCATGCACCTGCCCCTGCCCACCTCAGTCATGACACTGTATTAAATCCCTGAATATGAAACACAGAAACACAAACAATCGCTTTGGGTTTGTTTCTTTAAAAATGACATTTGTATTAAAAGTCTTAAAATGAGACAATGATTAAACGCATGGAATTAAAAATTACAATTAGTTAGAATTCTCTTGGTACATCACAACAGTAAAATTTTGCTCTTTGCTTCTGGAGGAACACCCTATAACAGATCATCAAAAAATGTAAAAAATAATAGAAAAGGGGAGCTAAATACCTGGTAATTTGAACAAAATGAGAAAAAAAAAGTAAAAAATAAATTCATTGCAGGACATGGAACTTACATGTTAAAGGCTGAAAATAATAAAGATTTTCACTGAACAACAGGCCCTATTGTCCTGGTTCCTTCAGGAAGATTACTGAGAGGAAACTGGGAAGTGGTTTGGGGAACAGCAGATTCTGGGATATGGTGGGAAGTTCACAGGTTGGCACCGGCTGGAACAGCTGAGTTTTGAAGGCACTCTGCAGACACAGGGGTGCTGGGGGCCCTGAATCACATTTACAAAGTCTTTGTACTATATTTTAAAAAGCTAGTCATTAAAATCTGTTACTGCCAACCAAAAAAAAAAAAATGAAAAAAGAAAAAAACAACAAAAAACTAAACTTAAAAAACACACACGCTCACACTCACAATAGTACACACAAAAATGTGCAGATCTGTAACATTTTTTTTCACAGCTGATTTAAAAAAAAAAATACTACCACTCTCCCCCAGACTCCCCATTTGATACAGTAGGTAAACAAAATAGATTTTTTTTTCCACAAATATCAGCAGACACTTTCTGGCACCCCACACTGTGTTGGCCTCAGTGTTAACAGTCCCAGTTCAGATGTGCAATACTTCAGATTGGATACACTGTAACAAGAATCCAACTTTGCATAGACATCCTCAGAATCGCAATCAGTCACGGGGTTGCCCCTCCAAGCTGGCAGAAAAGGAACCCGATCTTAATTTCCAGCAACTCCTGGAAAACAAGGAAAAAACAGAAGTTTCTTCCTCTTCTCCTGCTCCTTCATATGGTTCTCTTCGACTTCCTTCCACGTTTTTAAAACTTGGAACTAGAAAACAGTTGTTGACAGAGAGAAAGAGAGAGAAAGAAACCCCCTTCCATCTTCTTCCTCTCCACTTCCTCCACCCCACCCCACGCCAGCCCCATTTTTTTTCCAGGCTGAAACTTTTGCTTGCCGGGTGTCAAGCTGCCAGTACAGCGTCCTAGTGGCTAATTAAAAGGGGGAAAATGGGTTAACGGATGCCGTCCGCCTGGGAGATCTGCCAGGCTCCCTGGACATCCCGGCCAATGCAAAGTCGTCTCCAATCTCAAAGCAAAAAGAGAAATCACATTTAGAGTTGGGTGCGTTTGGCTTTTGTGCGCAGAGCGCGGCCGGCGCGCAACCACAGCGGGCGCCTCAGAGGATCACACAGGCCGAGCAGCAGCCCTCGTCGCCGTTGGGCTGAGCCGCGTAGTTCATCTGTCGCACGATCTCGGCGAACAGCTCGTCCACCGAGGCTTTGTTTTTGGCCGACGTCTCCATGAAGGGGCAGCTCCACTCCTCGGCAAGGGCCTTGCCCTCGCCATAGGAAACCTCGCGCTCGCCCTCCAGGTCCACCTTGTTGCCCACCAGGATCATGGGCACGCGCTCGTACCGCTTCACGCGGATGATCTGGTCCCGCATGGGCTTGATGTCCTGGAAGCTCTGCTGGTTGACAAGGCTGTAGACGAGGATGAAACCCTGGCCGTTTTTGATGTATAGGTCCCGCATGGACGCGAACTGCTCCGTGCCCGCCGTGTCCAGGATCTCCAGCACCGACGGTGACGAGTCCACCTCGATCTCCTTGCGGTAGAAGTCCTCGATGGTCGGGTCGTACTTCTCGATGAAGGAGCCCGTCACGAACTGCACGGTGAGCGCAGACTTGCCCACGCCGCCCGAGCCCAGCACCACCACTTTGTACTCTCTCATGGCTCCGTCAGCGCTCTCGCAGCGCCTGCCGCGGCCCCGTCGGGGCTGCGCACCAGGGAAGGCTGGGCTTGGTGGCTGGACTTCTCCCCTTCCTCAGCCCCGCAGGAAAAGAAACAGGGGAGGGTGGCCGGGGCGCGCAGGGTGCAGAAATTATCAAACGGGGCCCGGGTGCCGGGCCGACCGGCGGCGGCAGCGTGGCGCGGGGGCGCGGGGGCGGGGGCCCG